AAAATGCATTTTTCTCCCTCAAAAAAATCTACATTTTTTACGGCCACGACTTTTTTCAATTTTAGGGGCACGCCCCATACAAAAAAAATTAGCTTCTCGTTAATGGTGTTTTTTCAATTAGCTTAAAAAAAAATAGATCTTATAAATTTTAATTCTATTTTCAAAACACAAAAAGCTCAAAAAGTACAATTTTTTTTTTCATAATTCAGCTAAAAACTGTATATTGTATAAAATTTCGACAGCTTTTGAATATAAAAATTAGAAAAATCAGCTCAGAAACCTATATTTTGATGTTTTTAAATATGATAAACATATTATATTTGGATTCTTCAATATTGATTACTAATGTATTACATAACTTGAAAACAAATGGTCAAACTAGTCGGCAAGTGTATAATGAGGTTCAAAATATTGACCAGATCACTCTACTAGTATACCGCTATAAGATACATAATATTCTATCTAACCACGACATTATTTTAAAACTAACAACCAAAAGTAATTCGAATCTTAATCTTGAACCCTTAACATTACATAACACAAGTGTATAGCATTATATAATCGCTCTCTAGATTTGGTTTACAGCTAGTTGAAGTTTAAAGTTTTTTTTAATACAAACCTCCACCAAAATCCACCCAAAATTGTTAAAATTTGTTAGGTGTCCCATACTCCACTCAGTGCTTCATAAAACGCTTATTTGATTGATTTTAATATTCAATAATATATAAATTAGTCATTCAAAAGTGAAAGAATTCTATAGCTAGATGCAATAATACTTGGAGAATTGGGGTAAATATGAGCAAAAGCTGACATTAAGCCAATTAATAAAACTCAATATTCAATATACATCAGGTATAATATCACGGCTTAATTTCATCTATAGCTTGAACTTATATATGAAATGGTTTATGAACCAAGACCTTCAAGTTAAGCTTATTAGTACTAGTCTGATCATCATGTAGTAAGTTGTAACGTATAACGTATAACTCTAAAGAGCTATCTTGATTCTCAATCCAACATGATCATTGGAGATTAAAGTCATGCAATAGTATTAAGCTTCAAGATAATAATATACGGGGAGATATTTTGATATTCTCCTTATGGCAATCATATGAGATTGACGTTAAATTCGGTTGAAATGAAGGTTTACGGAGTCAGCCCTACGAGACAACTCCTGAGTCGTGACTTGAAAAGATACCATTCTTGACAGGATATGCTAAAGCTCTTAAATATAATTTCATCGTTTTACAGGTGATTTTAACTTTAGATTCCCTTTATTCCTGTTTAGATTAGTAGCGCGCAGCTTAACATTTCCATTTGAGGTCATGCTTTGCAATGGTCAATAGACTCCGTATTTTCGTACTACAAGTATATTAATTATCAAAGCCTTAGACCTACGGAAAGATTCGTGCAAGATATATGCAACTTTTCAACCATCACCTTATTGCTTGCATTTATAATTTGTTTATTCATGTGGAAAACTGGAGTTAAGCACAAGAGTAAGTTCAGCCTTTCGTAAAGTAAGCTACGTAGTTGATAATTAGCCAATGAGTATTTAGTGAATCATAAGTCAAGAATGTCAAGACTTGTAGTAACAGTTACGCTGTGATTTGATGAGTCAAAGCATTTATCTACAAGAAGAAGGATGGAACGAGATCCATAGTATACAGTTCAATTGTCCACCACTAGTAAGACGTTAATAACAGCGTAAATTGTTATCCTACATTTTCCTATATGGGAGTTGAAGCGTCGGTTAAATATTCTACAAACATCAAGATTCAAGAGAGATTAAGCCTTGACGTTTAATTTTTAAACCTGTTTACTACGACAACTTCTAACAACTGATCAACTAAAAATCACTCAAAATAATAATAATTAATATGAGATGAATCTCCACAATATAACATATCTTCCTCTTTCTTTATTTGTTAATTTGTTAACTTCTTCATGAACAGGAGAAACGGATTTTAAATTTTTACTATACAATAAAAATAATTTGTCACAATTTTTAACGGACTACGAATGAGACCCTAAAGTCCGTAAATTATACACGGCTGATGTAAATTACGTAGTCTAGACTTTCAATACCCGGATCCGTTTATCCTGTTTAATAAAACGTAGCTGTGATATTTCGCCTATTAATTCCCCAACCGGCTATATATTTGATATGGATTAACGGGATTTAGGATTTTAGGACTTTAGGACTCTTCTCCACAAATTAAAGTGTTAATTTTAGTCATAGTCTAGTCTGTTTTACTGATCCTATTTCCCATTTAAAGTTTTTCAATGTGTACTCGATCCGAGAATTTTATAGAATATAATAATCAAATCACCATTTTCCCATTTAATTTCAATTAATTATATAAAGTTCATTAAAGATCCTTATATATTGTTCATTTCTATAGCTTTGTACTTAGTTATAAGGTTTTACATTAGATCTTTTGTTATCATTGTACTCGTTATACGTTTCTTTAAATATTAAAATATGCCAAAATCTAAAAGAACAAGAACAGGTTGTTTATGTTGTAGAAGAAGACATAAAAAATGTGATGAAATGAAACCAAGTTGTAAATTTTGTTTATCAAAAGGTTTAGTTTGTGAATGGCCTGTTAAAGGTTCTGTATTTGTTAATTATCAATCACAATCACAACAATCAAATATAATCAATAATCAATCATTATTAAATTTATCATCAAATAATTTAAGTGATTCAGAATCTATTTCAATAAGTTCAAATTCAAGAAAATCAAGTATTGATTTCAATTATTCAACTTTTAATTCATTTACAACCCCACCATCATCAACATCATCAACATCTTCTTCTTCTTCAACAACAACAAATCCAAATTCTATTTCATTACCACCAATTAAACATTATCATATGGTTATACCCAGAAATACAAACATGACATCACCAAAATCAACAAATGTTAATTTATCAAGTAATAAAATTACAAAACCTAAAATTTCAAAATCACCAACTTTTAAAACATTTACATTTAATAATATATCAACATTTGATGAAAATTTAACACCAATAAATACAGCAAAGAGATTAAGTGTTGATTCATTACTTAATTAAGAAACATCTTGGGATAATTTATATAAATATTCTACAAAATAAACGACTTTAATGACTTTTCATAATATTATTTGTAATTATACAGTATTAACACCAGAGCGCTTATGGTTTAATTGAATTAGCAGCACCTAAATGTTCTTTATCAGCAGGTGGATCAAAATCTTCTGGTAAGAAATATGAATTATTTGAAGTTAAATATTCAACATCTTCATCTGTTAAATTGAAATCAAATGATTCAATTAATTCAGAACCTTTTAATTCTGGTGATTGAGTTTTAACTAATGGAACTAAACCTCTTTGTAATGACCATCTTGTAAGGATTTGAACTGGAGTTCTATTATATTTTGAAACTAAATTTTGTAATTTTGGATCATCTAATTTTAAAGCTCTTGTTAATGGTGAATAAGCTTCAACTAATAAACCATTTTCTTTGGAGAAATTAATTAATTCTTCACGATATAACCATGGATTAACACTAATTTGATTAACATGAGGTTTAATTTCTAAAACTTGTTCATTTTCAAATAATTCTTTTAAATGATCTAAACCATAATTTGAAACACCAATTGATTTAACTTTACCAGATTTATATAAATCTTGTAATGCTAACCAAGTTGCTAATCTACCTCTTTTATCACTTAATGGATCATGAATTAAGATTAAATCAATATAACCTAATTCTTTAGCATCATCAAAACTTAAATCTAATGATTTAATTGCAGTTTCATAACCATGATTATAAGTTTCAACTTTTGTTGTATAAAAAATTTCTTCTCTTTTAACATTTGGATTTTCAGAAAGAAATTGAACTATACCTTTAACAACTTGTAATTCATTTTGATAACGTTGAGCTGAATCAATATGACGGAAACCTTGTTTTAATGCATTATAAACAACTTGTTGAGCAGATTCTGCAGGGACTTGATAAGTACCAAATCCAATGACTGGGATTTCTTTACCGTTTGATAATTTATAAGTTGAGTTTTTATCTAATGACATTGTGTATATGAATTAATTGTAATTAATAGTAATTTAGTCAATAATAACCAAACAATATTCAAGATCTAGTTATATCTATTGAATTTTATACCCAAATGCTAAACTCATCAAATTAGCTTTCAATTGCGACAAGCAAGCAATAACAATAAAATTATACCGTACTACCATCCATAAAACTTTCTTTTGTTCTTATTGTCACAAATTCATGCTTAATGTTGTGATTATTGAATTATAATTGCCTTAAATTTACCACATTTTGTACCCTCCATCTTCTATTTTTTTTCTTTGTACATGAATAACAATCGTAAGTATTTGCTTTTGGTGGCCAATCCGAGCAATTATATGCGTATTAACAACATCACAAGATCAAAGACAATTAAAAAACAGATGTGTGTGTAATGATTATCTATTGATCCTAATAATCCTTTGATGATTTAATTTGAATATAGATTTTCTGATTTGATTGTTGATGTTTGTTGTACTTTGTTTCCCTAATGTTCAAAGTCTAAAGACTTAATATAAACACACACCAGTGCATGTAACCATCTTTTTTTCTTCCGCGAATTGGAGAATTTTGTAATTTGTTATTCTTTTCCTTACAGATGAAGATGTAAACCATTCAATCACGATATAGCTGTCATTTTATTGGTAAAGAATTGTTCTAAATTAAGATTTTCGATTACTTTTCTGACAAAGTTACATAACATCAGGTCATAATTAATGACCACTACACCTTCCCGAGCTGGGCATTCAAAAAGCTTTAAAATTGGTATTTGACTAATTGGTTTAAAACCAATACCAATATGATCCTTTGATGTATCATTCATATTTCATATTACATGTTGAACAGATTAACGATAACCGGGTTTGAACCTGGTCAGTTATTGTCATATATGGTATTATGTTTCTAATATCTGAAAATTTTATTAAATCATTCTATGGATTCATTGAGAATATTGATGATCATGATTAGATTTTAATAAGATTTAATACATTTTTTTTCAAAAGATTATCTATAGTATTGTAGCATTTACAAATTAATCGCCACTAAGGAAGAGAGTTAAGAGAGATATAATATAGCTAATTGATACTTAGCTAGTTATAAAAGTTCTTAATGGAAGCTATACTCCAAAGTTCAATTTTTGAATTCCAAAGGTGCCTGTAACTGAGCCCATATCAAAACTATACCATTTGAAATAACGTGAATTCAAATCTAGTGTGCAATATAGATCACATTGATGTGTAATTCCACCTCCTGACATGATATGAATTGAGTTTGATTCTTTTACATCGAATACGCACCAATAAGTTTTATAATCACCAAGAATAACAATAACAATCTCTCATTCGAAGTGTAGAAGCTTTCAATTTATTAAGTAAACGAACTTTAAGCTAACAAGTTGATTGTATTCCGCGTACTACTTCTATTTATTTCCTCTAATCATCATAAAATCTCTAAGCATTTCTAGTTCAATAGGGCTCATTATATTGGAAGGTTAGCTGAAAGCAAAACCTATCCATCCATCGTCTCCAGTACTACATTTGAGGTCATTTTATTATGAAAGTTGTGTACCTCGAATGTGATGAAAGGGAAGTAAAACTCTTAAAGCTCTGAACATTATTAAGGAGCCTGGAAAAGTAAACAAATAACTTTTCTCTTGTGGGAAGGTGAACCGATAAGCGCCGAAAAGTAAACAAAACATAATCAAAAAGATAACGAAAAGTAAACAAAAGCATACAAAAGTAGACAACAGCAAAATAAAGTCACTCTATTGGATGATGAGTTTCGGGGTTTATAAACTTCAAGGTCCCATAAGTCAAGAGGGAGCGTAGTTATGATGAATTTTATTGCATCCGGATGGAGAAGTCGTATGTTAGCTATCGAATGGTCCTACTCTCAACTCTCCACTGTTCAAACTACGTGCGCTGTTTATATTTTTTATATACGCGTACCAGCTGGTAATATAATCTATAATCTATATAATTATAATAATAATAATATTTATATATAAATATACGTATTCCCATGAATATCGAAATTGTCAAATTCTGAATTTCATAGTTATGCTGAAAATTATACTTACTATAGATCCCTAGTACTTTTTGAAATAATGTTAGTATTACAATACGATTGACAATAACTTTTACTAACATTCTAAGTCCCCCCGGACATAATTCTAAAGCTCAATCCAGTTTACATGTATATTTGAATTGAACACATGATGTATGTATACTATATATTGCATCAGTTAACGTGATAAATCTATAATATTGATTTTATGCTTAATTTATATGCTAAAATTCAATCATATATATATTATAGATTAATTCTGAATGAATGAATGTTGATACCATAAAGACTTTGTTATTGATTCATAGATTGAACAGATTAATGATCATAATGAAGTTCTTTTGGTGATTGTTTTCTTCCAATAATTTATTATACACGTTTGTAGAACTTAAATAATAGCTACATATTTCCAATAATTTAGCGCTAAACTAGTAGAATTTGATAATTAATGGATCTCAATGCACAGCTTATATTAATGTATTATTTATATAAATCACTATAAAATTAATTGTAATAGGCCCAGTTTAAATTGATGAAAAGATTCTTTGTTTTGGTTTATAAGGTTCTTCCAAATATTTAATTTCTTCATCAGTTAATTTCAATTGAGTAGCTAAGATAGCATCATCAACTCTTTTTTCAGAACTGAATCCAATGATTGGATTAGCGCCTTTTGAAATAACCCAAGCAGTTGCAATAGCTGCCATTGGTACACCTCTTTTCTTGGATAATTCTTCCACTCTATCAATAGTTTCAACTTCAGATTCTTTTGATGGATCACCTCTTGTAATATCAAGACCTAAATATTCATTAAAACCAGTTGTTGCATGTCTTTCAGTAAATTCAGATTCATCTTTTGGAACAGGTCTTGCTAAAACACCAGTTGCAATTGGTGACCATGGAATTAATCCAACACCAGTTTGATCACAATAGAAATTCATTTCATTTTCATCTTCTCTATTGATTAAATTATAAAAACTTTGCATTGAAATAAATTTACTCCATCCATGTTTTTCTGCAGTATGTTGTAATTGAACAAATTGAACAGCTCTCATTGATGAAGCACCAATATATCTTGTATAACCAGCTTCAACAACATCATTTAAAGCTTTCATAGTTTCTTCCATTGGTGTATAATGATCAAATCTATGAATTTGATAAACATCAATATAAGTACCTAATCTTTCAACAGATTTTTTAGCAGCATCAATAATGTGTTTTCTTGATAATCTTTGATTATTTGCAAAATTGATTTTATCCAATTCAGAACCATAATTAACACCTAATGCATTAAAACCAACAGGATATTCTTCATCATCAATTGGATAGAAAACTTTTGTAAGAATAATAACTTTATCTCTTTTAATTTTATATTTTGTTAAAAATTCACCAAGGATTTTTTCTGATAAACCATTTGAATAAGTATCAGCAGTATCATAAGTTCTTATACCATGATCATAAGCTTTCTTTAAGATACCAAATATTTTTTCTTTGTCATCAATAACCCATTTTTCCCAATATTCTTTTGAACCAAATGACATGAATCCAATAATAATTTTGGAAATTTTTAAACCTGAAGAACCTAAATTGTTCCAAGGGACATATTGAGTAACTTCTGACATCTTTATGTATATATGATAATATGTTGTGTATAGTTGATTTGAAGATTCAATTGATTAAATACTGATCAAAAATTGATTGGAAAGCAAGTTGTTTATATACTTTTATCCCCAGATATTTTAGTTTAACATTTTGACGTTTTGACATAACCCTAAATGGAAAAACTTTAACCGGTAATTGCGAGCCGTAATAATAGATCAGATGAACGTTTCAATTGGTTGGCAGTCTGTAATGTGTACGGATTCACAAGGGATTCACTACCTTAAAGATCAAAACTCATGGTCTCAAGACTCATAGTAATATCAATTGTTCATTGCAACTATTAATGGAAGTTGTAATCTCAGAGTTCAAACTTCAAAAGTTTATTTAGACGTTTACAGTTTCAGCTTTTAATCAACATTCAAATTCATTACATAAGCAAATGTCCGACGATGATCGTCAAACCAAAATTTTAATTTTTTAATCGTTTTGTTATGATATTTCAAACCTTTCAGAACTTGATTTCATTATAATGTTTGAGTATAATTTGGTGCAAATGGAAGCTTCTTAAATCTATTAGATTTAGCCATTCTATTAGAGAATCATTAATTCCAGGTATTTGTGATATATTAGGCTCTGAGGCCTATCATAAGTTGATCAGCATCAATTCTATATTACTATTTGTAAAAACTATACAGATATGATAGATATGCTTGATTGATTTATCCAATATATGATATAACACCATAAAGACTCTATTATTGATTCATGGATTGAACAAATTAATGATCATAATCTAGATCGTTTGGTACTTTACTTTTCAAAAAAATTTCAGACAGTAGTAGCTAGTAGGCAGCTTCGAAAGCTATATATTTAAGCTAGATTTTTCAAAATATACTATTATGTCGACTCTCGATGTATAATCTAAGTAAGAAGTAGATACATATGAGAGAGTCAATGGGGTCTTTATGAAACCAATATAGCTCGAAGTAATATTGTACTGTTCAACCATTGATAGTTAAACGTCTGCATGTTTTGAGTTTTGAGTTTTGAGGCACTAATATGATATATGAAACATAAGATTTCATCATTAGTGCAACGCTCACAATTTTTTTAATGGTATATAATTGCTATCAAAGATCTTACTTTTTCAAAAGTATTTTTTATTAAAACAAATTTAAAAAGCAACACCTTCTTGAGCATATTCTCCACTTTGTGCTATTAACATGTTATATTTGTTTCCGGTTTGGTTGTCGCAACGTACCACGGTACAACGTTAGGGTTTTTAGGTTTTAGTTCTCGCTAAAACGATACACTAGTTAAAGTGCTTTTGACAGCTTTGTTGACCATTTGTGATAATCTGGGGCTAAATTTAGTACGCATAAATTTCTCTGACTTGTGCCATGATCACAGAGAAGCGTTAAGGTTATACTATCAATTTAATAGCTTATATGTGATGTCATTACTTTTCCATGACGATATGAACTTTAAGATCAAATCTAGTTAAATGAATTCATCTGAAATAATTGGTGATCATTGACTAGGATTCGTTCAATACTATGATTTTTTGAATATTGAATGATTGAATGTAGTTAAAACAAATGGCGGCTAATATAATAGGATTCTAATAACAAATTGATCGAAGCGCTTACAAGTTCATCAGCAAAAATATCATATGTAATAGTTCAATTGCAAACATTAAGCTATTTAAAGATCATACAAATTAGTATTAATTAGTTGCCACCACCAGGGTGAACTGAATCACTTTTTAACTTTATCAGCACCATAAGATTTAGTACCATATTCACCATCTAATAAAATAATATCTTGAGGTCTATAATCGAATTTCCCAGTGAAATAACTAGTCAAAATTTGCTCAACACCAGCAGAATAACGAGCTTGAGCATTTAAATTAGAACCAGAAACATGAGGAGTCATAGCATTACCATCACCATATTTATTACTCATAGTTCTCCATGGATGATCAGCTGCTGGAGGTTGTGGGAACCAAACATCACCACCATAACCACTTAATTTACCAGATTTTAATGCAGCGGCAACATCTTCAGCAACACAAATAGCACCTCTTGCAGTGTTTACTAAATAAGCACCATCTTTGAATTTTGATAATAATTCCTTATTAACAAGACCTTTTGTACCACTATGTAATGGAGCATTAATAGTAATGATATCAGCTCTTGAAACTAATTCTTCAATTGAATCAACTCTAATAGCGTTAACTTTTGAAGTTAATTCATCATTTAATGGTTGATAATCATAATATAATAATTCTTTTGGATTGAAAGGAGCTAATCTTTCCAAGATTTTATAACCAATTCTACCAGCACCAATAGTTGCAATTGTTTTACCTTCTAAATCATAAGCATCACGTGCAGTTCTTGCAATATCCCATTTATCACCTTTAATTGATTCATGAGCTGGAATGAAATTTTTAATTAAAGCTAAAATTGTTAATACAGCATGTTCAGCAACTGATGTAGTATTTGAACCTGTAACTTCCAAGACACTAATTTTTCTACCAGATTTTTGAATATAATCTAAATCAATATGATCAGAACCAACACCTGCAGTAACTAATAATTTCAAATTTTTAGCAGATTCAATTCTCTTTTGATCAATATAAACAGGATTGAATGGAGTTGAAATAACAATTTCAGCGTCTTTAATATGTTCATCAATGGTTTCACCTTTATCACTTGTTGAAACTAATGAATAACCATTTTTAGCGAAAAATTCTTTTAATCCAAGTGCATTTTCTGCTGAGCCTAATAAATCTGGTGTATTATATTCACCACCTTTAAATAAAACTGCTAAGATTTTTTTGTTTGACATATTGTTGAAGAATTGTTGTATAGAATTTTCTATAGATAATAGAATATAAACAACAAATTCCAAACAGCAACTAAGGATAATTGATCTTTTTTATATATCAATATCCCAAGAAATCAACTATTATACCAAACTACCCCATACCCCATACTTTCCAAGACTCAACCCATATAATGTAACCACTAAGACCTCGAGCTAAACTTTCATCCACGGAATCCCATCATTATTCTTATAAAATTTTAAAGTTTGTAGTGAACGCTTGCAACTACCCATTATTTTCACCCACTTTATGAGATATTAATCAATTCTTGATCCATAAATACTATTTGATTCGCTCTCACTAGTGCATTTACAAACAATAACGTTAAAAATCGGATGTGTCATTCATTTTTCGGATACTATTCAATTGAATTCATTCATTCTCGCGGGTATTATGTCAGCATCTAGTAAATTGTAATACATGATAAAATTTTTAATATAAAGAAAAATTTGACGACAAACAGTTTGTGATTTTCTTTAGGTTTGACAGCACAACGGCTGAATCTATTAAACAACTTCTGCTTGAGAGTGATACAAGCTATAAGCTATAGTTACGCGAGTTCTTTTCCTACTTTGATTCGGTAATTTGTTATGTTGGCTTTTGTGTATTCTTGACTACACAGTGGTACAATTTTTCAGTGCTTTTGCTCAATATAGCTTGCGTTCGGCCATAGAATCTTTCTGGGTCCATTATAAGAATCAAGTATATAACTAATTAGTACCAACATGAACATATATGAAACATACTAGGTTAATATACTCAATACATAATACTCATAAGTCTATTGTCATGCATTCATCGATTGAAAAGTTGATGATCATACAAAGTATTACTTTTGAGCTGTTTTTTTCAGAAATATTTGAGTTGAAGCTTGTAGCTGTTATTACGTTATTACTGATACTAATTTCAATTTATACAATTGTTACATTAATCGTATTACTATATATATGAAGTATATTATTGATCTTCGTTAAGAAATCCTATGATAGAACAGATCTTTATATACCCGATTCTTGGACTCCGTATTTATAAAAATAGCCAATAAGTGTATTTCCATGGATTTAGTTCGTACATTGTTCTTGTCAATAATTAACGCGATTCGGAACATGTTTGAATTTCTCATCGATCTCGGAAACTTGTAAAAATTGATCCTGAAAACTAATTTATCATCTCTCCTTCCATTTATAATATTTTCCATTCAATAACTACTCAATCAGGCGTTGGATTCTGAACCTTTTATATATTCCATTATTATTCCATAGCCATTTACTTTTGATAAATTAGTTTGCAGAGTCTATATATTTGAAATTTTTGAGCAATTCAATTTATATAATCAGATGTTGAAGTACAAATTAATTCAAATTGAGTCAGAAATTGTTGAATTATATATCAACTATAGTATATATAAACTATGAATAAATGAAAGAACATAAAGATTCTATTCTTTGGTTCATGGATTGAATAAATTAATGGCCAGATAGAATTTCTTTTTGTATTTTTTTTACATTTGATGGATAAACTTACAGAATATAACTTTATGATATTGTAGGATTTAGTCTCTGTGTTATATTAATGAATCTCATAATTGATATTGCTAAAGTATAGCCTATTAATAATATGTGATCCGTATATAGGACCAGTGTTGATGGATTTTGCGTCAAGAACTAACCAGTGTTAACTGCATTAACCTTTTCCCCTAAAGACTTCTTCATCTATCACATTGTGTTTGAAGACTTCTTGAAATTCTTTAACACTTATGAGGTTATGACTGATACAAATACATACAGATAATTGATCAATGTATTGCAAATTTATGTTATGTACTTGAAAAATGGTGTTATACACTTGTTATTAATGATATTGATATTGAAAAGTACATAAAATAAGCACTTGGATCAGAGAACAGAAGATATATGAACTTTTCACTTTCTATTGGAACTAAATCTTTAAATACATTACTTGGTCTATATATAAAGATCAAAAATTAAATAGGCGCTTATTACATCGCGTCCCTTACCAACCAATTAATTGTCATTTATAAACTAAATTATTTTAAGATAATAGTTAGCCGCCAACTATTCAACCAATTCGCCATCAACAACCAATTCAACTAAATTTACACCAATATGACTGCAAATGTGACTACAAATATGACTACAAATGTGACAGATAGTTCAAGAAATTTCACTGCTGATGAGGCATCTGATTTAGCAAACGCAATTATATTCCTTATATTGGTCTTTTGTGTCATCTTCTTAATGATATTAAGTAAAAGTACTGAGGAAACAAGAAGAAATTCACTTATGATATCAATGACAACTTTAGTATCAATGGTTTACTTGAGAGCTAATACATCTGAAGCTAGACGCTCCCCTGGTTTAGAGTTTGTTTTATTAATTATTTCAATCATCACTGGAACAATTTCAATTGTTAGATTTAAAATTGATTCTGATCGTGATCCTAATCATTCTGCAAAAGATAATTAATTAAAACATCATTTAGTGCTAACATATACAAATCAAAGAGCTAAAATATAATGAAATGAATATTCTGCTAATCCATGTCTATTTTGAAGCAAAAGAATGATAATGAAGGTTTATCAGCTATGTTAATCATTTGATCATAAATTTATGCTAATATGTTGAGCTAGTATTACTCGGGTTCATGATTTTGGATATCAGTATCATTTTTTAGAAATGAATACAACAAGTTTGATCCATATTTGATAGTGATTCTATCCAGTTATCTGATTGACTATATACTATATAACAATATATTGTTCTAATGTGCTATAGACTAGAGATTTTACAAATATAGTATATAAGTTAAATATAATAAATTAAAGCGCTTGTCATATAAGTATTAAACATATGAGTTTACCACTTTGATCGATTACAATAATTACGTCACTAGATTTTCTTTATGAATTGACTGTTAATAGATAATGGACAGTTGCTGGACCTTGAAAATCGTGAAAAGGAGTTCTACCTGAAGTGGAAGTTGGTACTGGATTGTGTATGATACATAACGAATAGAATAACAATATTACACAGTAATTGAACGTATGATGGTTTCATATAAGTAGAGCCTTGCCTAGGTATTTATGTATTGTTGACTTACCTTTGTTTTTGTGCTGTCTAAACTAATAATCAGTCTTCAATTATCTATATATATATCTAGTTAAATATTCTCAACCCAATTGGGGAATTAAGTATACCATATTACTATGATTATCAATCTATACGGAAACAATGATATTCTTCAAACGTAAATCACTGACACAATTTCACTAGATACTCTAAGTATTCAATTCTAGACTCTGTAGAACTATTCTGAATACTCTAGCACAATGGATAATGGATGATCGCAAATAATTAGCGGCGCTTATATACCAAGCAGTTTATCATTATATTATATAAATTAAATTATCTCAATTGATTAGCCGCCAACTATATATATCCAATATTTCGCCACCAACAAACAATTCAACTAAATTCTTATACAAGTGTGACTGATCAGACGTTCAAGTTCAGACGCTTTGGTATTCATTACAGGTATCTTATTTATCATATTTCTTTCTATAATGGGTAATAGTGTTGATTCGGAAAGAAGAAGAAATTCACTTATAATCTCATTGGCAACTTTGGCATCAGCTACTTACTTGTGTACTAAGCCGGGTTTTGATGGCTCATCTTTTATATTATCTGTGATTTCATTTTGTACAGGTTTGAATTCAATTGTTTATACAGATTCTAAGCCTGATTCTCCTCCTTCAAATCAAGGTGGTGTTTAAGTATACATGATCTAATCCACATGCTCATTATACAAATAATGAAAGCTGAAATATAAAACTGAATTAAATATTTTTCTAAACCATGTCTATTTTGAAAACATTTCTGCAAATAAAGGTTCATCATCTATGCTGGTTAAGTTGTCCATATGGATCTATATAAGCTTGTGCTATTTATCGGGTTCATGATATTGAGGTATAAAGTTGAGAAAATTAGAGCTGAGTTCATAAAAAAGATTGAGTCCTTTTATAAATTTGATATTTAAAGATGTTATTATTCGTTGATTTTCATAAAAACTTGTAGAACTTAAAGATTTCAATATACTACTGAATTCAACAGATAATTAAACTCTTAGTTATACACTTAACATATAAACTCAACAATCACTTCAACATCAACACATAAACTCAACAATGTCATATTTAGTTAATGATACCGCTATAGCAGTGGCTCAATCTATGAATACATCATTGATATATTTTGAACTTGATGGCCCACTTATAATCAATTACAATGCCCTAGCCCGTATTATAATCCAATTCATAACATTTCTTATTTTTATTCTTATAGAGGTTATAACATCTGTTATTGAAGTTCGAATGAGTCTTGAAACTGGTATTTTAACCATAATAGCAATGATATCGTCACTTGGTTTAATAATCTCATCTGATGCCACAAATATATTGGGATGGCCTGATCATTTAGCTAAAAGTCTTCTAAATCTTTCAGCTGTTTTGTTTATATGGGGTGGTGGTCTTTTATTTGACACAATTATCTATAATATTTTTGGCCTATAAACCAATGTATGTGCACATAAGGTGTTAATTGATTAATAACATTGATGAAAAGGCTAATAATGATTCATTTGCTTTTAAAATAGATGAAAATAACTAATTTTCTTCAAATACACACTTACTTATTAGATCTTTTATAAAGATCAATTGGTGGAAAATTAACAGAACATTGTGTAATGACAATACTCATATACACTGTATACTAGTATTCTTGATAATACTTTAATTCAGATATTTGTTAATTGTAACCAAATTACAACTAAAACATAACCAAAAATTGATTGAAATATATCACCTAAATACTCAATCCTTTAATCTTTGCAACAAGGTCATCACCAGATTCTTTATTTGAAAGATGTGTAACTCCAGGTAGATCTCTACCTTCTAAAATACACAAAGTTGCACCACTCCCAGTTGCAACATGATCAAGTTTATCAGCTTGACCAGTTTCATAAACCATAGTTGCAGTATCACCACCTCCAATGATAACTTTTTTACCCATATCTGCATATTTAATAACAGAATCAACAATAGTTTTAGTACCTTTGGCAAAACTTGAGAATTTAACAACACCTAATGGACCATTCCAAATTATAGTTTGAGCTTTTGATAATTTTGAATCATATAATTCTCTAGTTTTAGGCCCGATATCAAGAACTTGCCAGAAATGAGGAATTCCTTCTTCAACAGTTGCATGCCCTGTGTTAGCTTTATCAGAATAAGAATCCCCAGTAACAAAATCAACTGGTAAAACAAACTCAACATTATTTTTTTTAGCCTTATCCATTAATTTTGGAACAATTGAAGGTTATATAAAGAATTACCAATATTCATATTTTTCAAAACTTTTAAAAAAGTACAAGACATACCACCACCAATAAGTAATGTATCAACTTTATCAAGTAAACTATCAATTGAATCAATTTTATCATTAATTTTACCACCTCCAACAATTGCTAAAAATGGTCTTGCAGGTTCTGATTTCAATGTTTTTTCAAAATATTCTATTTCTTTAGATAATAATAAACCTGAAGCTCTTTCTTTGATATTAATGCCAACAATTGAAGAATGTTCTCTATGACAAGTACCAAATGCATCATTAATATAAACATCACCTAATTTTGATAAATCTGATCTAAATTTTTCAACATTTCTAGTTGAAGCAAATTCTTTAAACCCATATTTTCTAAAACCTTCTTCTTCTATATGAAATCTCAAGTTTTCTAAAAGGTAAATCTTCCCCTTTGAAGATTCATTTATAACTTTTTCAACCTTAGGGCCAATACAATCAGGTAATAATTCAACTTCTTGATCTAATAACTTTGATAATTCTTTAGCAATGAAATCCAAAGATAATTCCTTCGTAATTTTCCCATTTGGTTTACCTAAATGAGTAGCTAAAATGATAACTTTTGGATTTTGTTCCAGTGCATATTTAATTGTTAGTAAAGTGGCGATAATTCTTTGATTATCTAAGATTTTTTTATCAATATGAGGAACGTTATAATCAACTCGGATCAAGACTCTTTTATCTTTCAAATCAACGTCTTTGATGGATAATTTGTTCTTTAGTGACATTTTGAATATTTAATTGATATCCATTGTATTAATTTAAGCTTGGAGTTGAAATTGGTAAGTTTTTGTGGCAAAATTGATTGTTTTTATACCTTTCAAGTAACCCCTTAATTTATAGATCAACAAGGGGATTTAAACAATTAAGGTTCATTAAGAACAAGACAACAAGACAATCATATTATAATCCACAAGAGACAAACCAAATGAGAATATCTACAACTTAATTTTCAAATGCAAATTTAATCATTTTATTCATGAAATCATAAAAATTCGTTTTATAAACATACTAATTTATACTCTATATTATATTATAACAAGTTTGGAAATTAATCAAGTGATCTATTTTGAAGTATCAACAACATAACGACCCAAGATTTTACCTTGTTGCATTAAATCATAAATCTTTGGTAATTCAGATAAACCAACAACTTTAATTGGAGCTTTAACTAAACCTCTTTCAAAGAAATCAATAGCTTCTCTTGTATCAGCTCTGTTACCAACATAAGAACCTTTAATTGAAACAGATTTAACAACAGCACCAAAGACTTGAGCTTTAGCAACGGCACCAGCTGGTAAACCAACTAAGACAACAGTACCACAAGGTCTAACATATTCAGTTGATTGTTCAATAGCTTTTTCAGAAACTGAAACGTTAATAACACCATGAGGACCACCATTTGTAGCATCAATAATATCTTTAACAATATCTTTTGATTTAGTGAAATCAATGAAAACTTCAGCACCTAAAGATTTAACTAATTCACCTTTTTCTTCACCACCATCAATAGCTAAAACTCTTAAACCTAAAGCTTTAGCATATTGAATAGCTAAAGTACCTAAACCACCACCAGCACCTGAAATGGCAACCCATTGACCAGCGGCTAAATCAGCAGTTTTCAAAGCTTTATAAACAGTAACACCAGCACATAAAATTGGTGCAACTTCAGTTAAATCAGTGTTTTTTGAAATTTTAGCAGCTTGAACTGCATCAGCAGTAGCATATTGTTGGAATGAACCATCATGAGTATAACCTGATAAATCAGCTTTTTGACAATTTGATTCATTTGATTTTTCACAAAATTCACAAGATTGACATGAACCATTTAACCATTTAATACCAGCATAATCACCAATTTCAAAATTTGTAACATTTTCACCTTTAGCAACAACAACACCAGCACCTTCATGACCACCAACTAATGGTAATTTAACTGGTAATGGCCAATCACCTTTCCAAGCGTGTAAATCAGTGTGACAAACCCCTGAATATTTAACATTGATTAAAATTTCATTAGCTTTTGGAGTTGGAACTGGAATATCTTTATAGTGTAATTCACCACCATTTTCATAAAAGATAACACCTTTTTGTGTAGTTGGGATAGACATTTTTAATTATAATTGATTTGTGTTATATTAATATATAATATTAAAACAATTTGATGAGGAATTAAAATAAATCAATTGAAATCTGTGTTATTAATTGAGGATATTCAACTCCTTTTATATAATTTTCCTTAATCATAAATAAAGCAAATCATTATAACACATTAAGCATCCAATGCGCAAGTTTAGGAGTCAGGAGAATCCAGATCATATGTGTACGTGTACACATGTTTCCTAAACGGATCAAATGATAAGTACGTGTGTTACAAATCTGTTGAGCCTTAAAGCTTTGAAATTGTACGTGGGAAGACGATTATGCATTTGAATTGGATGTTTTGGTAAAAAACATAAGGTAACTGGAGATGCCAGATTTTGATATGCATAAACGGAAATACTTTTTTTCGAAACAACGTTACACAAGAAACAAAACAGCCTATTAAATCAAACTTTCAATATACGGGAGTTTAAAATTGTACGAGATTAAGGTGTAAAGTGGTCAACTGATTGTACTTCCTGTGCTTATGTACTGATTGCTTTTATTCGGACTTTTTCAATCATCAATTGATAACAGATACACTAGTTCATACAAACAGACAATTAACAAACCTCTAAACAAACTCCTTTGAGATTCTTTCCAACTCCCTTTAAATCGAATTGAAAAGTACAAATACATCACAATTCAACGAGTATAAAAGATGATATGCACTAATCTCCGTATAAGCTGAAACCAGAATCTAAAATCTAAGACTAGAACGATACGTATCAACTTCCAAGTAATCCCTAGTATTGTCACAGTGTCACAGTGTCACGTAAGTACTTGTATCACCAGTTGATTCTACGTATACTCCGGTTTCAAGCGTTCAAGCGCTACAACATAGCATGATGTCCCAAGTTGCCATTTGCTTTTATTGGATGATTTTAAGGCAAGTGGAACAACTTTGTAAAAGGAACAAAAAGGCGCGAAACTTCCGTGATTACCCTTTGTTTACGTAATACATAGGTACTTTTTTTCAGATCAACGACATCAACGACATCATCATCAGAAGCAAAAATTGAAGAACAGCGCGGCATTAAATATTTAGTGCTTGTTTTAGGAGTTTAGTCTAGTTTACTATGTCATGGAACATCAATATGATTTTGAAAGATTAGCACAGAAATATACTTATTTAAACCAATTGTATGTATGATTTAGTAATATCATGATATGTAAACAAAGTACCTAACAATTTTAGTTTAACTGATGGAAAATACGAATTTTCACAAAAAGGAATTGAATCAATAACAAAAGCTTTACTCAAAGAGGAATTTAATATTGAATTTAATTCAATTGATAAACATCTTTGTCCAACAATTCCCAACAGATTGAAATACTTGGAATATATTAATCAAATTTTGAAAGAAACAACAAAAACGTCATACTTACATGATGTTGATCATAACGATAAAATAATCAAAGGTTTAGATATTGGAACAGGAGCTTATGCTATATATCCAATCTTGGGTTTGAAAAAATATGGATGGCAAATAATTGGAACTGATATTGATCAAGATTCAATTAATCATAGTCAAAAACTAATCAATGATAATGAACTGGACATCGATATATATAAAGTTGAATCAAATGATGGGGTTTATGATATCTTGGGTGATGACAGATTAGATTTTGTTATGTGTAATCCACCATTTTATTCATCACAAGATGAAATCAATGAAAATTTAAAATTTAAACAATCAACTTCTTTAAATAGAGATTTTGTTATTGCAAGTCAAAATGAATTAATAACACAAGGCGGTGAAGTACAATTCATTTCAGAGATGATTAAACAAAGTTATAATAAGGCGGATAAAATTCAATGGTTTAGTTCATTAATTGGTCAATGGAAATCATTAATAAGATTAATTGAAGAATTAGATAAGATCAATTGTAATAATTATTTGATTATTGATTTCCAATTAGGTAAAACTAAGAGATGGATATTATTTTGGTCGTTCCAAATGGCAAGACCTAAAATTTATAATGATTTTAAATTTATACAACCAACAGTGGTTTTTTTTTCAATTGATTTAAGAAAAACTGAGTCCTTGTTGAAAGATTATTTATTAAATGTTGAAAAAATTCCAGATGGATTGATTGTTACATCTACAAATGGAAATGTTTGGTCAAGATCTTTTAGAAGGAAAAAACCAAAATTAAATGATGATGAAGATTCTATATCAAATAAATATATTTTCCAAATTAAAAAAGATTCAATTTATTGGAGTTTTGGTTCAAATTTTAAAAATTTTCAAAGTTTCCATACATTTATAAAGAAAAATCAATAAACGATATCTATCATGATCTGTTCTATTGATCTAAATGTTTAACAACTCTAGCTGGTGATCCAACAGCAACAACATTTGGAGGTAAATCACGATTAACAACTGAACCAGCACCTACAATAGTCCCATTTCCGATAGTAATACCAGCTAATACAGTAACACCAGCACCAAGCCAAACATAATCACCAATATTAATTTCTCTTGCCCATTCAATTGAATTTTCAACACGTCCGTTATAATCTAATGGATGAGTTGCAGATAATAAAGAAACATTTGGACCAAATTTAACACCATAACCAATTTTAACAATTGAACAATCTAATATAACAAGATTAAAATTTGAATAAAATTTATCACCAATTTCAATATTAAATCCATAATCAACTTGGAATGGAGATTCAATACATATGTTATCACCATTTAATTTGCCAAAAACTTTCCTTAGATGATTTAAACGAGCTTGATCATATTCATCTGTTGATTGACCTGGTTGTAGTTGAATATCTTGATATTGTCTTGCTAAATTTCTAGTTTGACCTCTGGCAATTCTTAATTCTGATGACATTGAATCATAAGCCATTCCGGAAATCATTTTTTCATATTCTTCAGAACCTTTAGGAACGTTAATTTGTAGATTATCATAAGTGTATTGAATTAGTTCTTGATTCTTGGTGAATTGCTGTGACATTTTGATATATGATCTTGTAAGTTGTGGTAGGATATCTGTTGAAGATCTGGATGTTTTTGTTTATTGTTGATGAATTTTTCAGATTTGATTTTCTTTGATATACGTGTACTGAATTGTGGAGGTACTGCGGCGCTTAGATGCAGTGGGTAATAATAGGCTTGGTACAGTGGTACAGAAAATGATTGGATGTATTAAGAAATTACTAACGGTTTGTATCTGATTTATACTAAATTATAATCAAGATCAGATCATCATCAAGGTACTAAAATAATATTATAGCTGGTATGGCAGGTAGGTACTATAAGACGCGACTCATGCAATACCCCCACAGAAATTGAAGTTATATCATGATCTATATCATATATCTTTGATTTGTATATTTAACAAGTTTCAATAGCTTCTTAATTAACTATATTAACGATCTAGTTTGGTAGATGATCAATAATTAAGGCTATTCAATTATGATTTTTCCTTAATCGACTTTGTGTCACTATATATCGACTTCCCGAGTCTCAACCACAAATTAGACCTTAATTATATAGTTGAAATTGAATAACTAGAAAGTCCTGATAATATATATACTTTTATTTATATATGAATTATATTATAATTGATCTTACCACTGGATTGAAATCCAACTTTTCAAATCAGTCTCATTGTGAGTTCTATGATATATCATATATCACTCGACCAATCTCGTATATGCATACTAATTAAGCGCACTGAGACCTGAATTCAACACATATATAGACGACAATAAAAATGAGGTACACGTCGCCAATGGACTCCGTGATATTACCAATACTTGACTTTCAACAGCTTATGATATATATTCAATTATTGTATCACGTACGGTGTACCTTGACTTTTTCCGATCACTTTATCAAATTTCTTTTATGCGGAATAACACATATGTATCACCAGATTTGATGCATAAGGAATAACAATATGATCTTACTCTACAAAGAAGACCATGATCTAAACAAACAGATCTAGTTACTGCTTAAAGCCAGTAGTATCATATTACCTCTATATTATGATAATCCGATAATCATTTAACCTTTTCTCTGAATCTTTAATCATTTTCCTGGTCTTTCCATGTACTTCAATTGGGTGTCCGATCTCCTGATGGTATTGTCTGATACATACGCAATCAACCGGAGAACATCAACATGAATACTGAACATGACAAGTAATACCAAACCACACAATCAAATGCAGAGAAACCCAATAAACAGAGTGTAAACTTCAATTTCTAAATATAATATTCACAGGACACCGATTGATTTATTCCATTCTCGGATAAATTTGTGTCTAGGTATTTCTTTTGTTAAATCATACAACGGTGAAATCAACAGGGTATAAAACACATTTGAAATCCTTGAAACTATTGAACAACAACACAATACCAACAACAACAACAAACACAATCAACAATGTCAGAATCAATCTCACATTCAGTTTCATACTCTTCAATTGAAAAACCTCCATTCGCAGTAACAGTCATTGGTTCAGGTAATTGGGGTACAACAGTGGCTAAAGTTATAGCTGAAAATACAAGAGAAAATCCATTATTATTCGAACCAATTGTTCGTATGTGGGTTTTTGAAGAAGAATATCAAGGTTCCAAATTAACAGAAACTATAAATAAGACTCATATTAATACAAAATATTTACCTGATATAAAATTACCTGATAACTTAATTGCAGAACCTGATTTACTTAAATCTGTGGAATTTTCAAATATATTAATTTTCAATATACCTCATCAATTCTTAGAAAAAATCTTGAGTCAATTAAAAGGTCATATTCATCCAAAAACTAGAGCGGTTTCATGTTTAAAAGGTCTTAGAGTCTCTGAAGAAAATGTTGAATTATTATCAGATATCATTCAAAAAGAATTAGGTATTTGGACTGGTTGTCTTGCAGGTGCAAATTTAGCTCAAGAAGTTGCATTACAAAAATTTTCAGAAACAACAATTGCTTATCCATTACCACCAGATTATATTCCTGGTGATGTTGATGCTACAGTGTTGTATACTTTGTTTCATAGACCTTATTTCCATATTCATGTTATTGATGATATAGCAGGTATAAGTATTGCAGGAGCATTGAAAAATATTATTGCAATAAGTGTTGGATTTGTTGATGGATTAAATTGGGGTGATAATGCAAAAGCTGCAATAACTCGTCGTGGTCTTTTAGAAATGATTAGATTTGGATTGAAATTTTTCCCAAGTTGTAAAGTTAGTTCATTTACTGAAGAATCTGCTGGTGTTGCAGATTTAATAACAACTTGTTCAGGTGGTAGAAATTTTAAATTAGCTAAAATGATGGCAACAACAGGTAAATCTGCTCATGATGTTGAAAAAGAATTATTAAATGGTCAAAGTGCTCAAGGTTTAGTTACAGCTAAAGAAATTCATGAATTAATTAAAAATAGAAAATGTCAAGAAGAATTCCCACTTTTTGAAACTACTTATCAAATTTTATTTCATGGTGTTAGTATTGGAATTTTACCTTATATGTTGGAAAATAAATGGTCTCAAAGTAAACAGAATTTTTATAATTAAAAAGTCATATGTATCAATAATTCAAATATATCATTCAGTTCAATTAAAAAGTTTCATAGATGTGGTACACACAAAACATAAAAACACATAAAATTCTTTAATATACAAAATCTCTTTACGTCTCCTTCATAATATATCATTTCCTAATCTATTTGAAATATTTGCTTTTAAAGCTTCAAATGGACTTTTCTTAAAACTTGTAGTTTTCAAAATATTTGTAAATTGTAATCTTTCAACTTGTTCAATTTTTTTTGAACCTTTTTTATTTTGTGGATTTGGTTGATTTTTATTTGGTTTAGTTTTTGTTTCAATAAATTTTTTATCTATTATATTTATATTTGGAATTTTTTGTGGTTGTATAGTAGTTGTAGTTGTAGCGGTTTCAGGTGTTATAGTATCTTCTAATGAAGTTAATAAATCATTCATCTTTGGTGCTAATTCTTGTTTTTGTTTTCTTTTACGACGTCTTAAACTTGATTTGGATATATTACCATTATTATCATTTTTAGAATTTAATTTTGTCAAAAATTCTTGATGACGAGATTGTAATTTATCCCTTTTTGATTCTTTATATTCATGTAAAAATGCCTTTGGATCTTCTGGTAATTCAACTTGTTGATTTGGAGTTGATTTTGATGTAGTATTAGCTCTTGCAGCTACTTTACTTCTTAAATTTGTTCTTTTCTTGACAGCCTGAAGGTAATAGTTAGTATACAGAAAACCATATTACACCTAATCCACACATTACATACCATCTTGATCCCTTTCAACTCTTGTCCTTTGATTATCCAAAATCAATTAATACTCATTAAATTTTAGTTTATATCAAATTTATTTTTTTCAAGTGATGAGATGACGTAAGCGAATTTTAATTTTGACCAATTTTAAAAATTTTCAACTTTTTCCAATAGAAAAACGAACAACTGACAACTAAAAAACAAAGAACATCTCATATTAAAACACTTGAATTCCAACCAAACAAATCACAATGGGTAAATTCTCTTATATCTTTGCTACTGCTGCTGCTTTAACTTTAGGTTATGCTGTCTATTTTGACTATAATCGTCGTACAAATCCAGAATTCAGAAAACAATTGAAAAAATCAAAGAAACATCATGAAAAAAAAGTGATAGAACATGAAAAAGAAGTTAAATCTGTTAAATTAGATACTGTTAGAAAAGCTTTAGAAGAATCTTTGAAAAATGATTCTCCAGTACCAACTGATCCATCTGAAAAAGAACGTTTCTTTATGACTGAAGTTACTCAAGGTGAACAATTAAGTGCTCAACCAGGTTCTGAATTAGAATCCGCTATACATTTCTATAGAGCTTTATCAATTTATCCAAACCCAACTGATATCTTATCTATTTATCAACGTTCTGTTCCTCAAGACATTTATGATTATGTTATTATGATGGTTGCATTACAACCTCCACAATCTGTTGCTAGTATGTTGAGTGAATCTGTTCAATTAGATCAAGAACAAGATTAAGATGATTTAGACCAAAGATGATCTTGATGTTTTAAACAAGGAATGATTATTGTTTAATACAAGATGAATTTAAGGGAAATGTTTTGAGATTTTGACAAATGGGTGGCAAAAAATTGTTTTTTTTTGTAATGATATATTCTTAATTGATGATTGTACATAAATTTATACAAATACAATATATACAAATTCTTATTGACTTAAACATTTACTTCATTTTGGTGCATAACGAACTATATTTTTAACCAAGATAAATCCATAAGTTGTTAAAGCGGTAAAATTAACCAAGTTGAATAAAAGTGAAAATCCATGAATTTTACCAAATTGTTTACTTAATTCTTTAAATTCAGCACTATCTGATTTACCTTCATCTTCTAATTTAAATCTTGCTTCTTTGATTTTTCTAGTTTCTGGTAATAAATAAGCATAATTTGTTAATCCACCAATAATTGCAGTACCTAAAGTAATTAAAGCACCTGTGGTTAAAGCATATGGAGCGGTTAATCCAATAATAATTGGTGAAACTGATTGTGCAAGGAAGAAATGTGGGAATACTTTGGTTTGTAAAGCTGAAAATTCCTTTTTAGATAATGTTTTAAAAGCAATTGGTGAAGCTATATAAGAATAATAACCTGATCCACCCCAACTTTGTACAAAATTAGTATTGGAGATTCAGAGAAAAGATTGGAGATATATAGAATACTCACACAAAGGACCAAGTGAATAAGTGAGCAGTAGGTAGGAAAAGTGACATCTTGAGTTGGAATTGAAGGCTTTGATCTCCTTTGTATATGGGATTTGATTTGATTTCATCATTTTCAAAAAAATCGTGATTTTTTATACCGGAGAAAAAAATAAAGTTCAATATTGATTCATTATTATATGACAAAATTTGAATACCATTGGAAAACTTATAAATAACTGATATATCTTAAACAATGTCATCTTTTCATAAAATAAACTCTGTTTTGAAAACATTGACCCAAAAATTTGCTCAAAATCATTCAAATTATTCAATTGTTTCAGGTAATCAATCAGGTGGTGAGTATAAATCATTAAATAAGATTATAAATATTTCATAACTAATCAATTTTCCAACTAGATCTTGATTCAATCGTATCAGCTATAACTTATGCTTATTTTTCATATCTACATAACTCAAATGATTTAATTTTACCAGTTTTAAACTTCACAAGAAATGAATTAAACTCAAGAAAAGATGCTATATTATTATTAAAAAATTATAAAATTGATACTGAAAACTTATTCTTTTCTGATGATTTATCCAGATTATCTAGACCAGATTTCCTTCAAGGAATCCATTTAGTTGATCATAATACTCCACAAGGTTCAATAAAGTCTTTAAAAGCTCCCATTGTTGGTATTATAGATCATCATGAAGATGAAGGTCAATCATTACAAATTAATCCAAGAATTATTGAAAAATCAGGTAGTTGTTCAAGTTTAGTTTTCAAATATTGGTTTGATCAAATTCAAGATAAAAATTTAATTGATCCTGATGTTTTTAAATTATTATTAGGTCCTCTAGTTATTGATACAACAAATTTAACTTCCAAAATTGAATCAACTGATCTTGAGGTTTTCAAAATTTATCAAGAATATTTATCAGATTTTAATACTGAATCATTTTTCAGTGATATTAAAGAAGCTAAAAATAATATTGAAGGATTATCTGCTCATGAAATATTTGCTAAAGATTATAAAGATTTTGAAGTTTTAAGTTCAAATGACGGACATTTAAAGAAAAAAATTGGTGTTACATCAATTGTTAAACCTTTTAAATGGTTACAATCAAATTTTGAAAATTTAAATGAATTATCATCTGAATTTCTTCAACTTGAAAAATTAGATTTTTTTATAATAATGACTAGTTTTATTAATGAACAAGGTGATTTTAATAGAGAATTGGGTATTATTTCTCAAAATGAATCAAATAATTTACTAGAAGTTCAAATTGTTGAATCAATTAAAGATAATTTAAGCTTAGAGAAGGTTTCAAATTCAAGTACAAGTACAAGTACAACTAGTGAACCAATTCTTCAAATTTTTAATCAAAAGAATTTAAGTGCTAGTAGAAAGCAAGTCATTCCAGTATTTAAGAAATCTTTAGAAAAATTTTAGATTAATCAATAAAATAATTTGAAATGAAATATGATGCTCAAATCATGAAAGTATTGTACTAATTATGATTATATGGCGAATATTATAAACTCCGATCACATGAACATATATGTCTTCAGAGATAAATTATCTTCTAATATCGAACCATAAACTTAAGCTAATAGTATATTACATATGAATATATATATATATGATCATAGGATTACAAAAATTCATGATTTTTTAAGTGCTTTTGATCCATTGGATCTTGTAGTTCGCACTTGTTAATTTTTACATATAATAAAACAACCAGACAAAATACAACTAAAAAATATGAATAAAAACTAAAAAAAAATATGGGACACTACATCTTACAAAACATAAAATCACTAAAAATAATAAAACATAATATTGAACCTTTAAAACACTAAAAAAAGTCAAAAAAAAAAATTATTGAATGAATTCAATCAAACATTGCATTAGCCCGGAGTCGAACCGGGGGCTCAAAGATGGCAACTTTGAATTTTACCGCTAAACCACTAATGCCCGTTGTTGTGTTTTTGAATCTCCCCAGCGAGGCCGTTCTGCTGACTAATAATGGTAGGGGCAGCACGCCAATAACCTTATATTGTTAGTAAAACTTACCTTTTCTTAACCATAAGACCTTGTTATTGAATTGATAGAACACCTGAAGCATCTGTTCACTTGAAAATATTATGGATATAGCTTCAGTATACTTTTGTATCAGTATTTGTGGCTTGAACCTCAGTTGAAGAGCATGTATAAGATAATGGTTTCTTGAAAAATCACTGAGATAAATTTGGAGGAAATTCAAGTGTATTTATAGTTTTTCAAATTCTTCTTCGAGAATTTTAATCACACAAGACTAGAAATTATCTTTGAAACGATTGACGTACTCTCAAACTTAAATGATCTAAAAATTCTTTGAAGGTTACGAATATGGAAACCAAAATGGGTACATCCCACAAAAAGTATAAAGTGAAATAGTGAAATTCAAATAAGGTTTATTCATATATAATAAATATAATATTACTTGCACATTGGTGCTTAATTATGCCTAGAACTTCTCTTGAAACAAGTGGTATTGCTGTTCTAGACTTTAAAAAACTACGTACGCAAACTCTTTTGGATTTTGAGAACTAGCTTGTGACTTATGACTAAAGACCCATAGGGGTAGCAACTTGCAAGTCAATTATAACACATACTGCTTTTTGGTGCAAATTTACTAGTTATATAGATGAAACAGGAAGTACATTTATGCTCAACAGTACCTTTAAATGAATAATATAGCTTACCACTTGCTATATATCCTTTAACCTTCACTGACGTTTGAAAAAAAATATTGCAACTTCAATACAATATCATGTGTAAAGAATCTTAATTTCAACGTCATCATGTTGTAACGATATTTAAATTTTAAAGACATATGATTCTAGAACTTTGGATGTTTATGGACTTTAAAACCCTTGAAGTTGTCACTACTAGCTTGAACTTTTTACTAGCTTACATATGATATAGTACGCAGGTTAAACATTTAACGTCTTTGATCAGTTCACCAATCATCAAATTCATTAGTACGTAGAATCTAGATAACAACTAACTCATTTCTTAGTCTTCCACTTCTAGGGTAATAGATGCTTCTCTCCTCTTCAGAGTCTAGCCCATATGTATTTTATGATGAGTGAATGATATTATAAGATATAAATCATGACGTATGTTCCTAATTTTTCCACATCCACTTAGCCATTTGCATTTGCATATATTAAGGTCAGCTACACATGAGCTCAATAGCGCGTATATACACCTTCAGCTAAGAAGTTTCCTGAAGTTCTGTATCAAATGTTCATGCATCGCTTCGGTATATGGTATGTATCAAATTATTATATTATACGTTCCTGCATTATCGATTCATACAGCTGGCTGTACTTTCACTCCTGATAAGTGTATGTATATGGGACTCTAATTTAGATATCTGCACCGCTGGTATACTGATGAAGCTCGTGAAGTCATAAGTGTTTGCATTATGGATACTTGTATATATGTCTAAATAGTGGATTGTATATGTATGGACTTAGTGGAATTATCGGAAAATGATATTCTCCACTAAAATTATTAAAAATTGTAATTCC